CTCCTTATAAGCACAGATGAGGGTAATGCTATGCTACTGTGCTGTGTCCAAGGGTTCACAAACAATTGCTCTCAGAAAGCGTTTGCCACCCAAAGACAGACTTCTTCAAGGAGGCAATCATTCTAGGTCCTAGAGTCTAGGAAGCTGGTCACAAATGGGTTTCGTTTCTCCTGGTTTACTAAACTGCTGTGAAGGATGCCCCCCTGTTGAGATGAAAATCCTTGAGTTCTGTGTGATTTAGAATCTCTCTCAACTGTTTTGTAATCAACCAATTAATGCTGAAAGCATACCTGTGGCACTATTGGTATGATTCCATCATTTTTTTTCAGAGTTGTAAAACATTAATGCTTTATGTGAAGTCACAATACATTACAACACTGAAAATAAATCCAGGAATCAGTGTCTGAAGTACCTGAATTGACTGATGGGTGGTCCTTTTCTAGACCTATCCTTCATATGCTTCAGACTGAAGGAGTTAGAGCTCCAGCTAACCCAAATCTCAGAATTTGAATCTACACAGTGAATTTATAACTTGTCACAAACATATTCTGTATGGACTAAGCCTTATACTTGAGCAAGATGATGGGGATCTAAACTCAGTGCAAACTCGAAGAAACTAACTAACTTTTAACTAGCTATGACTCTCACGAAGCACCTCAGGGAGCAATGAATCATGAGGCACAGAAAGTGAGCAATATCTCACCTTTTCCCGTCTGTAATTGTTTATTGATTGCCAGATGGACTGGTTCCTATAAACCAAGAGTGAAAGGCATTCAATATCTACATGTGAAAAGCACCTGCTTTATAGCTTAAATGTGCCCTTGAAGTTCAGCAAGCTGTAATTTTTTTTTTACCTACTTTTACCACCATGATTATCAATAGATAGTGTTAGAAATGGTAAATACCATCCTTTTAGTAGAGGCTCAAGGATTCAGTCATCATCTCTAAATAGTCCTACCACAGAGGCGTTCATTTTGGTTCATTATCGGACTGTCTCTCCCCTGAACTATCATCATAGTCTTTCAGTCTCGGGATTTCCAATTTCTCTTTTTCTTATGTCCATTGGACATACTTTCCTGTCAGAGGGGCAGCTAAAACAGTCAACTATGTCAGGTCTGTGTTTAAAAGTCAAAGAGTATGGCACTAACCACAAAGGCCTTACACTTGGGGTCTCAGCCTTATTCCTAGCTATGCACTCCCACCAGCTCATCCAAAACTCTGGGTCCTGAATTATAAGTCTTGCCCCAGAGAGGATTCATGGTCATTCTTCAAGACCAAGTCATCCATCCATGACTCCTTCCTTTTAAGTCTCTGAAGCAATTACTCTCACTGTAATTCAGCAATGCTGCCTTTCAGCTTCTTAAAAAAAAATGGAAATTAATCTACCTCAAGACCCAGCTATGCCACACCTGGGTGTATACCCAAAGGACACGCCATCCTTCTATAAGGACACTTATTCAACTATGTTCATAGCAGCATTATTCATAATAACCAGGGACTGGGAACAACCTAGATGTCCCTCAACTGAAGAATCAATAAAGGAAACGTGATGCATTTAAACAACAGAATATTTACTCAGCTGTTAAAAAAAATAGCATCATGAAATCTGCAGGCAAATGGGTGGAACTAAAAAATATAATCCTGAGTGAGGTAACCCAGACCCAAGAAGACAAACACAATATGTACTCACTTATATGTGGATATTCGCTATAAAGGATTCTATAATCCACAGACCCAGAGAGGATAACAAGTAGGACCCATGCAGGGAGGATGCATGGATCTCTCTGGGAAGGGAAAATAGAATAAATTTCATGAGTGGACTGTGGCTGGATGAGGATGGGAACAGGAAGGATCAGGTAGGGGGGTGGAAGGAGTACTGGGGGAATGATGACTAGAATTGGGGGAGAAGCATTTCAGGGACGAGGTAGAAGCCTAGTGCAATGGAAACTCCCAGGAATATATGAGGGTGACCTTAATGAAGACTCCTCATAATGTGTGATACAGAGCCTGAACCAGCCATCTCCTGTAGCCAGGTAAGACTTCCAGTGGAGGGATTAGGACACCAACCTAGCCACAAAATCTTCTATCTACAATTTGTCCTGCCTACAAGATGTGCTGGGGTAAAGGTAGCTCAGAACTTACAGGGATGGCCAATCAAGGACTGATCCAACTTGAGACCCACACCACGAGAGGGAGCCCACAGCTGAGACAGCCTGGGTGTCCATGAACCAGAGGCTTGATAACCTAGAGACCTAGGATAGAACCAAACACGACTGGAAAAAAAAGTCAGTGAAGTGATTCCTGATGATACTCTGCTATACTCGTAGACTGGAGCTTAGCATAATCATCATCAGAGAGGCTCCATCCAGCAACTGATAGGAGCAGATGCAGAGACCCCACAGTCAAATATGAGGTGGGAGCTTGGGGAGTCCTGGGGAAGAAGGTGAGGAAGGCTTGTAAGAGTCAGCGCTGTCAAGGACACCAGGCAAACAAGGCCCACAGAATCACTAACCAGGGCTCACAGGAGCTCAGAGAGACTGAACTGACCGCCGGGGAGCTTTCACGGGACTGATCTCGGTCCTCTGTATGTATGTTCTGGTTGTGGTTGCTTTCCTTGTGGGACTCCTAACAGTGGGAGCAGGGACTGTCTCTGACTCTTTTGCCTGCTTCAGGACCCTTTTCCTCCTACTGGGTTGCCTCATCCAGCCTTAATGTGAGAGGATGTGCTCAGTCATATGATAATGTGATATGCCATTTTGATTGATATCAGTGGGAGGCCTACCCTTTTCTGAAGGGAAAGGAGGAGGAGTGGATCTGAAGGAGAGGGGAAATGAGGTAGAAGGACTAGAAGGAGAGGAGAGGAGGAAGGGGAAACTGAAGTTTGCATGTAATTTATGAGAGAAAAATAAATAAAACCAAAAAAAAAAGAAAAACAAAACAAGAACAACAACAACAACAACAACAACAACAACAAAAACCTCCCTGCTTTCTCTTCATCCTGTAGGCATCTTATCCAGCCTTAAATTACATGATGATACAGCACACAAGGCCTGGTCAGCATCCACTACTTATTAATTTATCTCTCTCTAGTTCTTACTTCATAAGAAAGAAATATAAAAATGAGAAGTAATTCATTGCAAAAGCCCCTAGTGATACCAAGAAGTCACACAATTCAGAAATTTCTCTGTGTTTTTTTTTTTATTTTTTAACTGTTTTCTTCAACTTGCTTCAACTTCTGCATTGAATCAGATATTTTATTAGTATTCTGAGAATTTCTCACCATCTTGTAACTTAAGAATATTAAAAAAATACTTCTAATGTCAGAGAAAGTTAGATGGTACCAATAGTGCAAAGTAGAACACCATCTGTATATGACAGATTAGGACTTAATTTTATGAAACACTATGCAGACAACTGGGATAGTACAATGTATAAACCTATGATGGCCATGTTTATAGAAATATTTCAGGCTGGCACAGTAGGACACACCAATAATCCCAGTTCCTGGGAAGCTGAGTTTCCTTGTAGTAAGTTTCCTTGAAGTATAAAGTACGATGTATTCTATCTCTTTTCTAGATATAAATCGTAAGGGAATGATTTGATGTTACTATGTAAGCAGAGAGATTATCAGGCAGGCCTCCCTCTGCCCCTATGATTTCAATCATCCAGGCTATCAGATCGACCAGCCTCCTGCCCCTGTGCTCTACTTGGTCCTGGGAAAGGAAGTATCACTACAACTGACTCAGAAGACCCAGCAAAGGAAGATCTCAGAAGTCTACTCCTTCAAGCCTGATAAATTCAGAGTATACACATTGGATAATACGGGGAGGTGTTTTGTTTAGAAGAAAGGGATGGCTGTGTCTGAGGGTATGCCTTAAAAATCACGAATAAAACAGTTTAAATAACAATTACTTTCAGTAATTTATTATCTCCTGAGAGATCAAATTGAACTGTCTGAAACTTGTCTTAAATGAAGGTATAAAACTATATCTTATGAGTACACTTTTAACATGCTGGTATTGTCTGTGATTCCAAACTGGCAAACATATTCTCTGTCAGTCATCTTCCTGATGTTGCTGATGGGCACTGGGAGGAAAAATAAAAGGTTATTCACTCCAAAAAGAAATTGTACATGCCTGAATTTACTCTTGAGGGGGTTAATAGCAAGTGGGCTAATGTGAGAAGAAAGGAATGACTGGGACTATAAATGTTCTTTTGATAGCAACATTTCTTCATATCTACAAATTTTAAACATTATTTTAAGGGGGTTATTTGAAATGCTAACTAATTTGTATTTGACACACTTCTATTTTTTATAATCATATATTTAAGATATGTATTTCTAAGCTTTTTAAAAGTCTAATTTTTGGACATAAAGGTTTTCAGGGTAAGCATTTAACAAAATGACTTGAAATATGAAGTGCCTAAAGCATAAAGAACAACAAAGCCCCTCTAGGTGTGGAGGTATGTCCTTAGGATCCTAGCACATGGGGGACAGAAGCAAGAGGATCAGTGGTTTAATATCAGCCTCAGCAACACATGTTTGAGAGCAGCCTAGGCTACATGAGATCCTATCTTAAAAGACAACACAAAGCACAACAACAATAATTAAAAGCAAAAGTACATTGTTAGCATGGTGATGAACTAGTCCAAAGCATTTCCTTTGTGATTTTTATCAAGACACAAATGCTTTTTACTTATAGTTCACAGGAAACCATCAACTGTGTGATTTCGCATGAAAATCAGCTTTCAGCAGCTGAACTGAGGTACTGAAAAACAATACACATCAGAGGCAACCACACACTCCTTTTAGGTGGAGCACATGGGATTGTGCTGCTGTGATATCTGATATCTGCATGACTCCCTTCCAAAGGACTGATGCATATTTAATCAGTTTATCTAATGGATGTGATTTCTCAAGTCACAGCACCCCATTAGGAAGGCTCTTGCCCTGCTTCAGCTGAGCACTCTCATTACATTTCCTGACTCTGTGGTTTCAGAGAAGCTGCACTGCTGGAGAATTCCCTGGCTGATCCATCTGTCTCTGCTGTGGACAAGAGAAGACAAGGTGATGGAGGTTTGTAGGACTGGGGGTTGGGGAGGAATAATCTGTGAATTCACCACGTCTAAACCTTCAAAGGTGCCCTTATGTAAAATTTCATTACCAGAGAACAGATTTTTAATGCCTTATCATTCTTGATTATAGTACAATACACACAGGAGTGCAAATATCTTTCCAACACATCTTCTATGGCTAGGCAACTGCAGTGGAATTGCTAGCTCACATGTGTAGGGTATGATCTAACTACTAAATGAAGTTGAAAAAAATCAAACTTGGTGGCAAATTAATGACAGTAATTAATTGAGAAAAATAGGAACCTACTTAAAAGCAGATTGCCGGATTTGGTAGGATTGCCCAGTGTTTAAGAGCACAGGCTCAATTCCCATAACCCATGTAGAGGCTAACTGTCCCTAACTCTAACTCCATGGGATCTAATGCCCTCTTCTGGCCTTTGCTGGTACTATACACATGTTGTGCATAGACATACATGCAGATAAAACACAAATACACTTAATTAATAAAATAATTTATGAAAGCAGGTTCGGCATTTTTTTGTGAGTGACACTGGGATCTTTTCATAGCTTTAGATGATGTTTATGCTTCTCTTTTTGTGCTCTATGTGCAGCTTTATATGTTCTTAAAATAGGGTTCTAATTTATTATAAGTTTTAGAATGCTTACCATAGTAATAAAATTCCCTTTTTCCCTCCCTTGTTGTAAAAGATGCACATATTTTTTAAATCTGTTTTTGTTTTTCGGGTTAACGGTGACTTTTGTCCATAAATGTGTTCCATTAATTAAATTGAATGAACAAAACTTTTCCCGTGGCTACAAGACTTCACACCACCGCCATTGTAACCACTTCTACTTTGAGGTTCTGAAAACATCTTGACATACCCACTAGTATTTTTATGGTTTATATTTTATCTTAATGTTTTCAAAAGAACAAAATAAAGAAAGAAAATATTTCTGAGCCAGGACCTTAATGTGTATGCTATAGCATGAAGTCTCTTTAGGAATGACATTTCATATATATATATATATATATATATATATATATATATATATATATGTGTGTGTGTGTGTGTGTGTGTGTGTATGTATATATATATATGTATATATGAATTTTAAAATGAGAAAATGTATCCTGCTTTAATTAAATACATTTTCACTACAATTTAATGAATTAATTAAATTCCCTCATTTAATTTCATTAATTTTTTATTTAGTTATAATACATTCTAGAATATCACCTATAAACTGGGTCTAGGTACTCTCCTCCACCACCTGAAATATCTTGAGCAATTATAATAAGATACTGAGTCATACTAATCGAACTTTTTACAGTAAGGATGAATTCCAAATCGCAGGTTGTTTCAGGAGTAAGAGTACTTCCCTAGAAAACACTGTGACTCCATCCCCACTTCGTTCTGCACTTTCAATTGTATTTTCCCCCCTTTGGCTGTTCTTGCAGAAGATAAGAGCTCAGGTTTCTGCACCCATGTGGTGGCTCACAGTAGCTGTAACTCCAGTTCCAGAGGATCTGACATCTTCTTCTGACTTCCATGGACATCAGTCACACATATGGTACACAGACAAACATTTAACAAAAGACTCATTGACATAAAGTAAAAGATAAAATAGATCTTTAAAATCAACTGTAACCTGGAAATATCTCTGTATTAATACAGGAGATCAATAAAGTACAGGACCATTTCTTATTGCAACAGCTTCATATCGTTTTATTATATAAATGGACTGAAATTTGGTTGTTTGTCCTTTACTATAGAACACTCAAGCTGCTCCCCAGAGCCACATTTCCTTCTCTAGCATATTTTTACTGCATGACATGACATTTGTAAGACAAAAGACCAGGACAGGAACTGTGGAGTCAAAGTCGTACTTGAATTTTGTTTCTGAAAAAGAAAGCATTGCCAAATCTCATCTACCAATTAATACCTTCCAGTAACAATCAGTCAGGGAATGTTTGTGCATGCCTTTAGAAGAATGGCATATAATTTTGGTTATTTTGAAATACACATTGGAATAACTGGTGAGGGAATAATCTATGGATCTTTAATCACACACACTACCCATATGTCTCAATAATACCTATTAACTAATATTCGATCATACTGATTTGAAGTACTAATCTTTGTAATTCCCATATATAATGTTGATTTCTGGACACTGAAATTTTTTTATGAGATGACCACTAGATCAGTTTTATCCACTATTTAAATTATGCGGCTTCCATAAAGTTATTGGACATTTAACGGGATGATTTCTATCAGATATTGTCATTGTTCTGTGTATCTTTTCTAGCTAACTAGTGTCCGGGTGGTACAATAGAGAAAAAGATATAAAGACATGATATCTCTATATACTGTTATTTCCTTTTGGATTTTCTCCCTTAAGGAATATAAAAATACCTTATCACAATAAGAAAATTGAGTTTAGCTAGCTACCAAGATAGAGTTTCTAATGTTAAACATATCATCTATAAGTTAAATATAATAACCACCATTAGTAATTTTATTGGAATATGTTCCTAATTGTTGACATCTTTACTTCAAAATGAGTAATGTACTTACCAAACTAATGAACTCTTTAAAGGAGCATTCTTTATCAGAAATGGTTAATTTGAAGGATGACAGACACCGCCTTTTATAGTTTCAAAGATAAGTTTTTAAGGTTCAGGGAACATTGTGGAAGAGTGGGTGGGAAGATTGCAGGAGCCATAGGGTCAGGGAGTTTGCTGTGAGACTGTGTCTCTTAGTAACATCATAATCTACACCCATAAAGTCTCAACAACATGTCTTCTGGGATGTGAGCTGAACAAGCACGACAAGTGTGACACCAGTAGATGTGCCAAAGTGGAGGAGAAAGACCCACAAGAAGAGAACATCTATCCTCCCTCAAATTTATCCTCCAAAAAATATCAGGAGACTTGAATTCTGAAGTAAAGTGAACAGGTAAGCCTCCCTCCAATAGTTAAACTATCTTTTAAAAAATCACCATTTTAATTACCACTTCTAACAATTTATTTTGAAATGATGTTTATATATTGTAATTTTATTGCACTATAAATTTTAACTTAATTTAGTCTTTTCAGTTTCCATTTTTCATTTGCTAGTAGCCCCTAAATGGGAAGTCAATGGCTGCAGAACTTAAAATATACAAGGACTTGCAGACAAGAAATCCATGGTGATAAACACTAACCTTCAGGCTTTAGTTCTTAGGAAGAAATTTTTCTGAAAGTTACTATGAAATTAATGGAGGGAGAAATAGTGACTTTATTAAGAATTAAGAGAACCAAAGAAAAGATTTGATTTTGTTTGTTTTTTTAATTAAGAAATTTTTTATTCATTTTACATACCAATCACAGATCACCCTCCTCCCTCCTTCCACCCCTACAGCACCCCTCCACCCACCCCCCACCCCCCCCCCACCCCCCACCCCCCGTCCATTCCCTCCTACAAGAAGATAAGGCCTCCTATGGGGAGTCAGCAGAGCCTGGTATGTTCAGTAGAGGTAGGTCCAAGCCCCACCTCTCTGCCTCAAGGCTGTGCGAAGTGTCCCACCATAGGTAGTAGGCTCCAAAAAGCCAGCTTATGCACCAGGGATGGATCCTGAGCCTACTGCCAGGGGGCCTCTAAAGCAGATCAAGCTACACAACTGTTCTGCTCATGTAGAGGGCCTAGTTCAGTCCTATGGAGGCTCCACAGGTGTTGGTCTAAATTTCATGAGTTCCAACTAGTTTGGTTTCATTGTCTCTGTAGGTTTCCCCATTATGAACTTGATGCCCAAAATTAGGTCCTCCTACATCAATTAATAATCAAGAAAATGACCCATAGACATGCTTATAGACATATAAAGCCTGATCTAGGCTATTCTTCAATAGATGTTCTCTGTTTCCAAGTGTATCTGCTCAACAACCAAGACTATTCATCACACAATGCATTGCTGAAGATTCTGAGTGGTACATATTTCTGACTTTCTTCCTGCTTAAGGAAACAAGACAGTATTTCTTCCACATTAATTTGTTACTCAAGTATAACTGGAGGTCCATTCTTTGCCAAGCCTTTTGCTATGATCTGTGGAGATTATAACTATAGTGAGACAGAATCCAGGCTTAAACTATTACTGATCATAACCCTTAGTAGCTCAGATTAGAAAACAGAGTAACTGACTTTTAACTAGTTAGACAATTGATGATAAATTCTTATCCTATTTAGGAAAGGACCAAAACAATCCTGAGCAAATAGAATGCTGGAGCGATTACCATTCCAGATCTCAAGATACATTACAGAGCCATAGTTATAAAAACAATATGGTACTGGCACAAAAACACATGTAGAAAAATGGAACAAAATTGGGGAACCAGACATGAGAATGTGTAACTCCAACCATCTAATATTCTACAAACACATACACTGGAGAAAAAGTATCCTCAACAAATGGTACTGGGAGAACTAGACGTCCACATGTAGAAGAATGAAATTAGACCTGTGTCTATCATCTTGCACATAAGGTAACTCCAACTGGATCAAAGACCTAAATGTGAAACCCAGAACATTGAAATTGCTAGAAGAAAACATTACAAGTAAACTACAGGGTGTAGGTGTAGGTAGGTGTAGGGAAGAACTTCCTGACTGAAACTCCATTTGCCTAGGAATTGAGGCCAACAATTGATAAATGGAACATCATAAAACTGAAAAGTTTCTGCCCAGCTACAGACACGATCAGTCAAATGAAGAGGAAGCCACTGAATGAGAGACAATCTTTACCAAATATACATCTGAAAGAGGATTAATATACAAATTATATAAGGAACTCAAAAAATAAGGAGTCTACACACACACACACACACACACACACACACACACACACACACACACACACGAAACAACAACAACAACAACAAAAAGTGACCATTTCAGAAAATGGACTTAGGATCTAGTCAGAGAGTTCTAAAAAAAAAAAGAAAGAAAAGAAATAAAAATACCTTGATGTATTTCAAAAATATTAATCATTCCTAGCAAAGAGGGAAATGCAAATCAGTATTTTTCCCCCTAAGAAACATTCCAAACATTCCCTGAATTTTGTAAAGAAGAGGAGTCATTAGAATTCTACAGTCACTCTGTAAGTCATGCCTTGGGAACACCAGGGCATTTTCTTGGTTTATTTCTTGGAAGTTTTCTTCCAATGGGAATGTTGAACAACAGTCACAAAAATTACTCAAAATGTGCAAATTATTGCAATACTCTCATACTGTTTTAGTGTCCTGAGTGTGACACTCAAAGGTACCCACAATGCTCACCTTTGTCACATTAACACATTTCTCCCCAAATAAAACAGAACTTTCAATCCTTTAGAGGTAAGAAGACACTACGAAATATTTTTGTAAAATGAACCAAAATGGTAAAAGATAACTTTTAATGAGAATTAAGGGTTTCTCAAGCATTTATTCTGATTGTATTATTTATCTCCAGAAAGGGATTGAGTTAAAATGAGGCACAGTCCTCCATCCCTCAAAAAATTTGTCCCTTGATGGTCACTGTAGCATTGACTTACCACACAGATCTCTAGGCTTGGGTAGTAATCTCAAACCAAAGAAGCTATTGAGTACTATTTTTGGCTTTGCTTTCTGGCCAACTTAGCAATTTCTTCCTTCCTTCACATCTCTCTGTTCTGTCTTATACTTCTTTATAGTGTTTCTTATAATTCAATTGTGGGGAAGGGGGCATATTTCTTACATTTCTCTGACAACTAACGTTATTCCTTCATGTTCTGTGGAGGGCAGTCTACAGTGTTTGCAATGATACCCGAATAGCTTCTCAACGCAGACATTCTCAAGGAAGAAAGGAAGGTTAAAAAGGGAGAGAGTAAGGGACTATCTTAAACTCCAAATGGGGAACAGATATGAGGCTTCTGAAAGCTAGCCAGAGGCGCCGGGGTATACCCTCTCCAGGCCTTTGGGATCCTGCCAGGGCCTCTCTCTCCAAATATCTCAGTGGCACCAGCACCAGCCTGGATGCCAAGTCCTGTCCTGCACATTCTGGAGACTTGCCAAATGGTGCTTAATGATTGATCACTAGCCCTAGGAGATTTCAGCTGCCTCCCTCCAATCCCTAGTTCATTTTTTCAATATCATTTGGCTAATGTTTCACTTTTAGGAAAAGATCAACCTTGTAGCATTTTTAAATGTACCAACTTTAGTACACTTTAACACATGAGCACTCAGTCATCCACAGAACTCTTAATGCTAGGGTCCTGGACTGGGGAGTACAATTGCGGTTAAACACAGCAAAAATTCTCGTGCTTTCCTGAGGGTGGAACAGTCACTGGGTAATAGAGCTAATTTCAAAATACAACTCACAGAAGAAGAATTTGGATGGAATTACCTGGCTTGGGTGGATAATGTCACTCCCAACAGACATTGGTTATTAACTGAAAATCACAGTACAAGGCAAGGGACACCTCCTTGAGAGCTATTGGCCAGGGGGATCTAGAGGTCTCCTAAACAACACAGGGTATTGTTACCCACTATAACTATACAGTAAGACTCTACTGTGGCTTGTTTTCTGTTGATGTAATAAACACTGTGATTAAAAGTAACCTGAAGAAGAAAAGGTTTACTTCACTTTACAAATTACAGCCTATTATTGAAGGAAGCTAGTATAGGAGCTCAAACAGAAATTTGGAGGCAGGAATTGAAGCAGAGACCTTGTAGGAAAACAAATTTCTGGCTTGTTTCCAGGCTCATGTCAGCTACCTTTCTTACATAGCCCAGTCCTAACTGCCTTGGGTTAGTACTGTCCTCCGTGAGCTAGGCCATCTTACATCAATTAGCAAACAAGAAAATGCCCCATAGATATGCTTACAGGTCAATCTGATTAAGGCAATTCATTAATGGAGGTTTCATCTTCCCAGGTATGTTAGACCAAGACTAGCCATCACATACTCTATTCCTGAAGACATCACAAATCTTGGCTGCTGGACATAAAGAAATTAACCTGAGAACAATTAGGAAAGTTCCTTGCTGCTTGCTAGATTCCATCATACAGAGAGATGTCATGCAGGCAGCTGGCGGGGGGGGGGGGGGGGGGGCGGTGCAGGGGGGGAGGCATCAGTGATCTTATTTGGCACTGACCCTATATACTACAACACCAACCTGCCATGTAAGATGTGCCTATTGGCAAAGTGGTATCACTACTGTTACTGGGTAACTAGCTGCTTTCTTGCTGGATCTGAGGCCCACTCCATTGGCCTAGTAATCTTAATTAAAAGTCCATGGTGGAGGTCTTAGGCCTCTGGGTAGACCCTGTTATTGTATGTCTAAATGGTTATGCTGTCAAACTTTTCTATAAATATTTATTTTTATAACCATACATTTGCCGTCTTCTCAACCTCGGTCAGTGAACCTTCATTTTGCAGTGGATAATGGTCCATGGAAAGATGCGTAATTGGTCAAATTAGTGAGAATAAGGAGCTGATATCTGTGCTAAAACCCTCACCACCAAGGGCCAGGAAGCATAGAAAAAGAGGGATGGGAATGATATGAGTTAGAGGATGGGAAGTACTTCTGTGAAGTGCTGTTTCCTGGGTATTGACGTCATGATCTAACAACAGCTGTGGTTACCTACACAAAATCTATAAAAGATGAAGCAGGATTAAAATCCTGTCAGTGGTGTAGATGATCTTTAGGCTCCACCAGTTACTAAGGAGATATTGGCAGTGGATAGTTGCTGGGCTTGGGCAGGGGAGAGTTATTGTTTCCTGAGGATGTGGCACTGGTAAGATTCCCACAATCCAGTTGATAGCTCCACACCCTATGCAAAAAGGGCACCTCTAACTGGATGTAATGGGTTATAAAAAAAGACATGAAATTGGAGGGCTGGGCGGTGGCATGTTCCAGGAGATATAGAGGGAGTTTGGAGATGGGGAATGGGTTTAGATATCATAATATTGC